TGATGACTGAACAAGAACAGATAGCAATAAGTAATTTAAATGACTCAGGTGAATTATAACCTGTTCAATCTTAGATCCATCTTTTTTTCTAATACGAGGGTTGATCCAAAAGTTCATGGAATTTAACTATTTCTAAAATTTTATTGTGATATGATGAAAGCAAACAATAGGCATATTTATAATATAAAGTCATTATGCAACAATACTGGAAAATTTCACCACGTTCCAATTACCAATAAGGTCACATGAGCTTTCTGAACACTGATAGTTGTAAAATCCGGGGGAGACTTCGACGTAACGTCAAGTTAAGTATGTCATGTCATGTTATAGGAGCATCTCACCCTCATGTTCAATTCAACTAAGTTATTCTACAGAATATTCTGCCTTTTTCTCTTTTTTTCTCTCAAGAAAAGCCTGGGAATCCACCAATCGACTTATCTTTATATTACACTCATATTTCAAAAATACTCCCCATCTTTCCATATGATGTTCCAATTTCAGTAGCAAAGTCAAGCACAGTACGTCAGTGGTCAACATCCATCAATGCTTAATTTGTCTACGAGAAAAACAGACCCTCCAAAAGCAGCCACACCTTTAATCAACCTCCATGGAAGTTCTATTGTTCTTAAATTTCTCACGCCACTGGAAAATCAGTTGCTAAATGCATTTTTCTCCAGCCTGTATCAGTAGTATACCCCTTTAAGTCAGAGTGTTCCTAAGATTTTAACAAAACTTATAACTTGACTGAAATGTGATGTTCTCTAACAATTAAAAGATGAACAAGAAATCATCAACTAATAATCTAAATATCAAGTTAAATCAGTAAAACTCTCACAGACAGGTATATTAGTTGTCAAGCAATCGTAATAATGACAAAATTCTCATTTTATTTGCCACTTAGCGCAGGTTTTTTCTTATATCACGTATTAAGAATTAAAATGATCATGAACGAGTAAATGTCTCCCCTGCATTTTAAAACATCCTTTGCTATGGCAACTGCCATAGAGTTACTATCATTAATATTTAAAATATTTTTTTATTAAAAAAATTCAACAAGTGTCTATATTTTTATTTGTAATTTTCAACCACTTTCACTAATAAATAAATAAAATAAGAAGAAATTCCATGAACTTTTGGATCAATCCTTGTACATGTCAGTCATTAAATTTATATAATATACAGTATGCATAAGGGAGACCAAATGTATTATTACTGCATTAAGGAGACCAACCACTATCCATATGTAAATCAGTATTCAACCACTTTCACTAATAAAAAAATAAAATATGAAGAAATTCCATAAGCATTTGGATCAACCCTTGTACATGTCAGTCATTAAATTTATATAATATACAGTATGCATAAGGGAGACCAAATGTATTATTACTGCATTAAGGTGACCAACTACTCTCCACATGTAAATCAGTATTCAACCGCTTTCACTAATAAATAAAAAAAAAATATGAAGAAATTAGTGATGAGACATCGGTTAATTTTCATAATCGATCATCGGTTGGAATTGGTTACTGCTTCTGATGCGATTTCACCGATTATAATCGGATTTCTTCATAGTCTTGTATACAAAAAGCAGACTATTACAATAATTTCATTTATTTCTTTAACATGAATATATAAAATACATAATATATTATTTTCTTTGTTGTTTTGCTTCTTTTACACTTTCTAGACCTAAAAATATTTACAGTGGACACCCAACATGGCTGCCTAGTGGCAGAAAACGAACTTCAAAAAGTTGTGGGGGGAATTGATCACTCTATATTTAAGGTAAATGTTGACTAAGTTGCATATTTTATATCTCAAATAAAAGATACAATTAATATTTTTTGAATAAAAAGAATCAGCTGATTGATCAAACCAAAGAGCAAACACAGATTTGGCAGGAAAAAAAATTCACCCGGGGGTAAATTGAATGGGTCGGTCGGGTTATTACAGGAAACAAAAATAATTTTTTTTAGGCCCTATATATGCATCTTCGGTTCTTAATCACCTCTGCTTCGTGCTAGTTGGCTAGTATCAGATGCAGATGCCATTTTCTTTCATTAAGAAGAAATAAATTTTAAACCAGAAATGGATAATTCCGGAATGTATTGTATTAGAAGTATGTTTCCGATGATCGATTATGAAAAACTATAATCGATCATCGGAATCAGTAGCATTTTTTTGTCGACAATCAATGTTTTCTGATTATCGGTACAACACTAGAAGAAATTCCACGAACTTTTGGATCAACCCTCGTACATGTCAGTCATTAAATTTATATAATATACAGTATGCATAAGGGAGACCAAATGTATTATTACTGCATTAAGGAGACCAACTACTATCCACATGTAAATCAGTATTCAACCACTTTCACTAATAAATAAATAAAATATGAAGAAATTCCATGAACTTTTGGATCAACCCTCGTACATGTCAGTCATTAAATTTATATAATATACAGTATGCATAAGGGAGACCAAATGTATTATTACTACATTAAGGAGACCAACTACTCTCCACATGTAAATCAGTATTCAAAACTTGAGATTTTAATACCCTAATAATTTACATGTTTAGTTACATGAACTAAATCTATTTACCTTTGTCATAACGCAAGAACTGTTTTACATTCAGCCAACTTTAACATTACACATGCATACAGTGTATGCCATGCATTAGGAAGACTAGATGCATTATTTCAACATTAAAGAAACCAACTACAATGGAACAATTAGACAGTATTCCAAAAAGTTCATTCCAATACCATAGTAATTTCCCTTAATTTGTTTGTATTTAGATGACTTAAATCAATTTATCTCAGCCAGAATTGGAACAAAAAAACTAATCATAAAAGTGGCCAAACACATGAACAGACAGATGGACATGATGATTCCTATGCTTATATACTCCCAAAGTTGCCAAAGTAGAGCAGATGCAGTGGTTAGAGCGTCTACTCTAGAGTTGCGGAGAAAGAAGCTGATCCTTACATCGCGAGTTTGAATCCCACTGTGGGACGTGGAGACCCGTTCTTCAGATGAGACAGAGGTATTAACCGAGGTCCCATGTCACATTAGGTGCTGGCTCGATAAAGATCCCTCAATGCTCAATGGCCGTAAGTGCTGAGTATAGGACAAAAATTTGCAGCTCTCCACTGACAAGTGGTGGCGTCTCCATATGAGTGAAAAATTCTCAAGAGGGACGTTAAACAACAAACACTCTACACCCAAAACTTTGTTTGCAGAAGATTTTGTGATACATGCTTTACAAGTATACATATTGTTCATAAGGGAATAAAAATGCTATAATATATCATTAAGGAAAGCAACTGAAATTAAATGTGCACTTCTAATTGAACTAAACAAAATTACCCTTTGTCAGAATGTAGATTTATAAACAGGAAGGCTGTTTTTCTTCATTTTTTCCATGTCAGATTCAGACTGTTCTTGAAAAAATTCTGGCATTCACCCTGTAAAAGTGAACAGTGCAGATAATAAAGAGCTTCTAAATAAACTGCATAATATTTAAATGATCCACTTAAAAGGGATAACAAATGCATTTAACTCCATCAAGGAGACCAACTGATATCCATATACAGAGGCGCCGTGTTTATCCGGACGCCATTTATCCGGACGCTTCACCATCCGGACACTATTTTTTGGGAACTGATTTTTTCTACGTTATTTTGTCTCATGAATCCGGAAATTCGCATTCCGTATCCGGACAGTCAATTTCTACTACAAAACATAATAGTTCATTGAAAAATGACTCGTTTATCCGGACGGTAATTTTTCAAGAAACGACATTTTCACACTTATCTTGCATTCGTGTTAATTGTTGTAAAAACATTGGCCATGCAGTCAGTTTGAAGGCGGTTACCTGTGACCTACAAACAATAGCGTCTATAATTAGTGTGTGTTTACCGCAATTCAATCACATGTTTATCTTTATTATGAAGCTCAAAGAATTTAATTGACACTGTGCATTAATTAAATAATAATCCGTTCAAAATCATATTGCTAACCGTATATACGTCGGTAAATTCATGAGAATTTTGGAGAGTTGTAAATAAAATGAACAATAAATAACGAGCGATTTCGTAATGCTCTTTATTATGTCGATTGTGTTAGTTTAAAATACAATGTTCCATTTCTAAAAAAACGTAAATGTATTTGAAACGCTTTTTTTCCCACAAGACAGTATAGAAAAGTACATAATAGAAGAAATATCTCTATCTAATGTACTACCGTTTACAAACATCCATTACATATCAAACTGGCGTTACGTACAGAAGTTGATTACGTTTTTCAAGGTATTTTTTAATGATCGAAATTCAAACTTAGCGTCTGTAGAAAAAAATAATATTGATAATCATGAAGATGGCTTGTGTTTACGAATGTTTTTAATACTTTGTTTGATTGGTTTGCAGTGTTCAGTTAATTTTATAGTAACCATGTGTAATGAATATACGGGGAATATACAGGGTTAGTTTATATTTGAACATTTTCAATGATGATGCTGAACAGTTCTGTCATATCATATAAGCTTCAATAATTATAATATATGACAAAATAAAACAACAGTAGATCAAAATTTGCTCAACCCATGAAGTCACATGTCAAAGAGAAGGTGAATTAAAAAAGGAGGTCTCGGCATAAAATTGGCCATTCATTTTTTTTTTATTAATCAATTACTGCTTTTAAAACAATTAACCAAAATATAATTTAAAAGTTTTTTTTTCTTTGCTGTCACATTTGAAACAAGAATGTGCATATATACATGCTTATGTAGAGAGTGCTTTTTGATATGTGATTCAATTATCCGGACGATTCATTTATCCGGACGATTTCGTTGGGGACAGAGGCGTCCGGATAAATGAGGCGCCACTGTATATATATAAATCAGTACATGTATTTTAATATCCTAGTAATTTACATGTTTAGTTTCATGAAATAAATCTATTTACCTTTGTCCAATGACCAACGAGCACAAGCACTGATTTTTCCTCTTTTTTCTTAACGGAATCACCAGGGCCAGTCTGCGGTCCATATGATTCTGGCATATGTACACTCTGTAAAATGCATATTTGTACCATGTACAGGCATATGAACAATATTTCTATACTACATACATGCATCATTAAACTTAATAATCTTTTTTTTTTCCAAAATTCATTATTCATAGTGTTTTGCTGTTAGCAAAATTCAACAAAAACTATACCGTATATATACTTGCCTATAAGGTGGTCCACCTATAAGTCAGTTGTATTTTTTGAGGTTATTTTGGAGGGATTTGCTATTGACCCGCTTATAAATTGGTACAACTTTTTGCCAGAATCAATTGACAATTTCAAATCAATGCTCTGATGTTTTAACCTGGTTTCAAAATGCTAATCTTTTTATCACTCACCTATAAGCTGGACATAGAATATATACAGTACCTGCATTATACATGCATTAGGAAGACCAAATGCATTATTGCAATATTAAAGAGACCATTGTGGCAAATGAAATCAATGTATGAATTGTATTCAAAACTACGGGTGTACTAATTTGTCTGAAGTATATCATGATATAATGTGATACACAAAGACTTTAACAGGATATGTACATATACCCACATGCCTAAATTTAACAACAGGAATTATCGTTCTACAATAATTTATTGAAATTGCCAATATGAATAAACAAAAGCAAACTTTGTTTCGATTGTATGAACTTTAAGTTTTCTTTTTCCACTACGGTCAGATAATCTAACTATCCCCCCTGGTTGGCTACCAGGTCCTTCGTTAGACTGCCTTATCGGACATGATATTTACTGAAGATTTGATTTTTGGTACTGACTTTTATACTCAAAATAATGTCTTTAATTGTTTAATTTCTTAAGGTCAATATCACTTTGATGTGTTCAGTGTTTACTTTGATATGTAATGATGTGTATAAGCGTGTATTTTCGATAATTTAAATTCCTAGTACAGTAATCGTCCCCAAGCTGCTGTTTCATTATCGTGTCATAGTATCTCTGAGAGTGCATTTTATTAACACCTCCAAATCACCTGGCCTGCGTAATTAAATTTAACTACCAAAAACAACAGCTTGGGATTAATAAGGTGTGATTATCAGCAATGGTCCCATGAAGCCTGTGCTAGACCTAACGGAAACGTTCAACAGACCGTAAAATTAGCATAATGGGATTATTGTGTACTAAGGTGTGAATTCAGTGGAGCGAGAATTTGTTGGACTTCGAGATGTGTTTATAGCACTTGGGACCGTAAATCTACTTCGAGATAAGCGAGGTATTCGAGATTTCCGTGTTCGAGATACCAGGGTTTTTTAAAATCATAAATATAATAAAAACGGCTGGGACTGTTGATTCACTTCGAGATATCCGTGGTATTCGACATACCGGTGTTCGAGATACCGAAGTTTACCTGTATATCGATACATATCTAGATTAATGAATATATCGTATCAAAAACAAGAGGCCCATGGGCCACAACGCTCACCTGAGCACATTGGCTAGGAAAAAGCACAAATCACTTCAGTATTGAAAAGTTTAAAGGGGAGGGGGCTTGGATTTTGAACTACCTGAGGATGCTTCCATATCAATATAACAAATGGCTTTACTGTTCTTGAGCAGAAGATTTTTAAAGATTTTTTTCCTATATATTCCCTTGTTAAAAATTTGATCCCCCATTGTGGACCCTCCCTAACCCCCCCCTTCCATCATTTGAACAAACTTGAATCTACACTACCTGAGGATGCTTCCATATCAATATGACTAAACATGGCTTTTCTGTTGATGAAAAGATTTTTTCCTATATATCCCTATGTAAAAATTTGATCCCACATTGTGGCCCCACCCTACCCCTGGGGTTTATGATTTGAACAAACTTGAATCTACACTACCTGAAGATGCTTCCATATCAGTATGACAAAACATGACTTTGCTGTTCTTGAGAAGAAGATTTTTGAAGTTTTTTCCTATGTATTCCTATGGAAAACTATGATCCCCCATTGTGGTCCCACCCTACCCCCAGGGGTCATGATTTGAACAAACTTGAATCTACACTACCTGAGGAAGCTTCCATATCAATATGACAAAACATGGCTTTGCTGTTCCTGAGAAGAAGATTTTTCAAGTTTTTTTCCCCCTATATATTCCTATGTAAAACTATGATCCCCCATTGTGGCCCCACCCTACCCCCAGGGGTCATGATTTGAAAAAAACTTGAATCTACACTACCTGAGGAAGCTTCCATATCAGTATGACAAAACATGACTTTGCTGTTCTTGAGAAGAAGATTTTTGAAGTTTTTTCCTATGTATTCCTATGTAAAACTTTGATCCTCAATTGTGGCACCATCCTAACCCTGGGGGTCATGATTTGAACAAAGTTAAATCTACACTATCTGAGAATGCTTCCATATCAATATGACTTAACAAGGCTTTGCTGTTCTTGAGAAGAAGATTTTTCAATTTTTTTTCTGTATATTCCTATGTAAAATTTGATCGCCCCTTGTGGCCCCACCCTACCCCGAGGGGTCATGATTTGATACAAACTTGAATCTTCACTACCTGAGGATGAATCCACATCAATATGACTAATTGTGACTTTGTTGTTCTTGAGAAGAAGATTTTTCAAGATTTTTTTCTACATATTTCTATGTAAAATTTTGATCCCCCATTGTGGCCCCACCCTACCCCTGGGGGTCATGATTTGTACAAAATTTTATCTACACTACCTGAGAATGATTCCATATCAATATGACTAATTGTGGCTTTGTTGTTCTTGAGAGAAAGGTTTTTAAAGATTTTTTTTCTATAAATTCCTATGTAAAATTTTGATCCCCCATTGTGCCCCCCCCCCCCCGCCCAGGGGTCATGATTTTGTACAAACTTGAATCTACACTACCTGAGGATGCTTCCATATAAATTATGACTAATTGTGGCTTTGTTGTTTTTAAGAAAAACAATTTCAAGATTTGTCCTACATATTTCTATGTAAAACTATAAATTGATCCCCCATTGTGGCCCCACCCTACCCCTGGGGGTCATGATTTGAACAAACTTGAATCTGCACTACCTGAGGATAATTTCATATCAATATGCCTAATTGTGGCTTTGTTGTTCTTGAGAAAAAGATTTTTAAAGATTTTTTCTATATATTCCTATGTAAAACTTTGATCCCCCCTTGTGGCCCCATCCTACCCCTGGGGGTCATGATTTGAACAAACTTGAATCTACACTACCTGAGGATGATTCCATATCAATATTACTAATCATGGCTTCGTTGTTCTTGAGGAGAAGATTTTTAAAGATTTATTCCTATATATTCCTATGTAAAACTTTGATCCCCTATTGTGGCTCCACCCTACGCCAGGGGGTCATGATTTGAACAAACTTGAATCTACACTATGTAATGAAGGTCTCACCTACGTTTCAACTTTTACAGCCAAGTGGTTCTTGAGAAGAAGGATCTTAAAAGATACCACTAAATTTTCACTAATTCTTAATTATCTCCCCTTGAAAGAGGGTGTGGCCCTTCATTTGAACAAACTTGAATCCCCTTTACCCAAGGATGCTTTGTGGCAAGTTTGGTTGAAATTGGCCCAGTGGTTCTTGAGAAGAAGATGAAAATGTGAAAAGTTTACGACAACGACGACAGACAACGGACAAATTTTGATCAGAAAAGCTCACTTGAGCCTTTGGCTCAGGTGAGCTAAAAATAACTTAATTCCAATACATTTTGGGCAGGCAGTCTTTTTTATGTAATTCTGTGAAAAACTTGGGAATTTCAATCACCAAAGATTATATTTACCCGTAATTGTTTTGAATTAAAACTGATCAAAAATGATATAATCATTAAGGTGGTAGCACATCTTAAATGATTATTACAAAATCATAAAAATACATAGACAACTTTACTTAACATGTTGATTTTACAGTCAAGAAAAGTTTGAATTTGAAGTGTAATTTTTAAAGACGGTGAGACAAAAAATTAACAAGAGGCCCATGGGCCACATCGCTCACCTGAGCACATTGGCTAGGCAAAAGCACAAATCAGTTCAGTATTGAAAAGATTACCACCGGAGGGGGGGTGGGGGGGGGGCTTGAATTTTAAACTACCTGATGATGCTTCCATGTCAATATAACAAATGGCTTTCTTGTACTTGAGAAGTTGTTCAAAAAAATTTCCCATATATTCCTTTGTAAAAATTTGATTCCCCATTGTGGCTCCTCCCTATCCCAGGGGTCATCATTTGAACAAATTTGAATCTACACTACCTGAGGATGCTTCCAAGATATTATCCTATATATTTCTATTTAAGACTTTGATCCTCCATTGTGGCCCCACCCTACCCCCGGGGGTCATGATTTGAACAAACTTGAATCTACACTACCTGAGGATGCTTCCAAGATATTATCCTATATATTTCTATTTAAGACTTTGATCCTCCATTGTGGCCCCACCCTACCCCCGGGGGTCATGATTTGAACAAACTTGAATCTACACTACCTGAGGATGCTTCTATATTAATATGACTCATTATGGCTTTGCTGTTCTTGAGAAGAAGATTTTTAAAGCTTTTTCCTATATATTTCTATGTAAAACTTTGATCCTCCATTGTGGCCCCGCCCTACCCCCGGGGGTCATGATTTGAACAAACTTGAATCTACACTACCTGAGGATGCCTCTATATTAATATGACTCATTATGGTTTTGCTGTTCTTGAGAAGAAGATTTTTAAAGCTTTTTCCTATATATTTCTATGTAAAACTTTGATCCTCCATTGTGGCCCCGCCCTACCCCCGGGGGTCATGATTTGAACTAACTTGAATCTACACTACCTGAGGATGCTTCCATATAAATATGACTCAACATGTCTTTGCTGTTCTTGAGAAGAAGATTTTTAAAGCTTTTTCCTATATATTTCTATGTAAAACTTTGATCCTCCATTGTGGCCCCGCCCTACCCCCGGGGGTCATGATTTGAACAAACTTGAATCTACACTACCTGAGGATGCTTCTATATTAATATGACTCATTATGGTTTTGCTGTTCTTGAGAAGAAGATTTTTTTAAGGTTTTTCCTATATATTTCTATGTAAAACTTTGATCCTCCATTGTGGCCCCGTCCTACCCCCGGGGGTCATGATTTGAACTAACTTGAATCTACACTACCTGAGGATGCTTCCATATAAATATGACTCAACATGTCTTTGCTGTTCTTGAGAAGAAGATTTTTAAAGGTTTTTCCTATATATTTCTATGTAAAACTTTGATCCTCCATTGTGGCCCCGCCCTACCCCCGGGGGTCATGATTTGAACAAACTTGAATCTACACTACCTGAGGATGCTTCCACATGAGTTTCATTTTTCCTGGCCCTATGGTTCTTGAGAAGAAGATTTTTAAAAGATGCTATTAATTTTTCACTAATTCTTTATTATCTCCCCTTGAAAAAGGGTGTGGCCCTTCATTTTAACAAACTTGAATCCCCTTTATCCAAGGATACTTTGTGGCAAGTTTGGTTGAAATTGGCCCAGTGGTTCTTGAGAAGAAGTCGAAAAACTTAAAAGTTTACAGACAGACAGACAGACAGACGGACAGACAGACAGACGGATGCCGGACAAAAAGTGATCAGAAAAGCTCACTTGAGCCTTCGGCTCAGGTGAGCTAAAAATGAGTAAAAAACAATTATTATTTTTATAAAATTCATGCATAATGATTTATAAGACTTTTTTGACAGAATTGTTAAAGAATTCAATATATTGCATATCGCATTAAAAAACGTCTTTCTTTTTTTTCTTTTTTTTTTTGCTCAATACACAGCCCTAGCAAAAATGATATACAACAAGGACTTTGATTGGATTATTAACATTCATTCGATTGATCATAATTATTAACTGTTATTGCACTTTCATTTTCAAAATGTTGTTAGGTACATTGTTTGTTCACTCTTTTGCATTGATATTATAATTTTATAAAAGAGTATTTTGGCAGAAAAAATTATCAATTTACCTTTCTTGGAATAAAGACATGTTGACCCTTGAGCTGAGATTTTCTCTCTTTCCATAGATTTGTTACACTGGGGTCCACATGATTCTAGCAGAGACCCTGTAAAAAAGGACTTAACTATGGAAAAGCATGAAGAATATATGCCTATTATACATATCTTAAATTCTAATGAAAACAATGGTTTTTAATTAAGATCCATATATTTCTAATGATTGACATAATACAAATTCAAAATAAAATATGCATGTCTATATTATACACTGTACCTTAAGCAGACCAATTGCATTATTACATCCTTCAGGAGACCAACTTAAATCAATGTTTGAGAACTACTTGTGAGAACAATAAATTTGTCTACTTTACAGTACTAAATGTACATGGAATCTATAGGATCATGTTACTTTAATTGACCTGCCTTAGTTCAACACAGTAATCTAACAAAGAAATTGAGCCAAAACAACATTTTAAGACTTTTTGAACAGTGCATGTTCCTATCATTTCAAAACCATTACCAGTAAAAATGCTAATACATGTATAGGAAAATGATGACAATTAATTAATATTGTACTTTCAGGTATATTAGATGAATTAATCTGATTCGTCAAGAAACATTTGTTAAAAAGCACTATTATCCGCTGAATAATGAAGCCACGCCCAGTGTCGCAGCAGTCAACATTGCTTGACGACGGGTGATATTCCAAAAAATAGTGACTGCGCAGATTTATGCGCTCAAGGTTCACTATTATTTGTATTTGTATAAAACATTCAGTATAATATAATAAATATTGCATGTAGTTGAGTGTAATATTGAAAATTTTCACCCCTCGAAAACCAAATACGTCAAAAAGGGGATGGGTTTCTTTTCCAACTTCTACATAGTTTCGCCCCTGCAAAAACTGGTATAGACCTTGGAAATGTTTAAACGGGCTAAGAGAAATCAAATGCATCAAGAGTACTTAATTGTTTTTACCCAAGTTACATGCCAAAAAAGATTCAGAGAGACGTCACATAAAGTTAACGTTGATTTGAACTGAAGTTAGGGTGTCAAAAGTCATTCACGTCCAAAAGTGACATTGATCATGTGTGGTAGATAATAAACTCCTACGGGCTAAATATGCTGCCATAATCAAGTGAGGATCTTTCCCTAATCCTATATATAAATCCATTTAGTACAATATTATATGCACTTAAGCAGCTGTTAATGACATTGTAAAATTATATAAACAAGACCGGTTTATATAATTTATATCAATTTATATAATTAATAATATAATTTATGTAATTTTATCAAGATAAGTGTATGGGGTAGAGGGAGCAGACATTGAGAATCAATGTTGTCGGACCTCATGAAACTAAACTAACAGTCTTCCAAATAACCCGGGAGTCCAATGCCAGGGACCTGTTAAATTTGCAGCCGGGCATGTAAAAATTGCCAAATTACATGTCCGAAGAGGGCATATGTGAATCTTCTTTCAATGTACAATCTTTACTTGCCATTTACTCTGTCCTACCCCCATTATTCGCTTAAACGTTGCTATATGTAATGTCGATGGATTGCCTGTCTACATTCTCGATACGACCTGTCAAATGATTGTCAATCTAATCATTGAAGTGTTTAGTTTAACCTATTTGTTTTCTCGAGTTGCTTGCTAAATTACGAGATGTTCATCAATGCCACATACTGTGGCACTACAGTCATGATCCCATTTCTGAAATTCAGTTCAGCTCAACTGGCCAACAAATGACCAGCATGCAACTCAAAAGTTATTTATGAACAAAAACGCTTTAGAAAATGGCAATCACAGGCCATGGTTGGTTTACGACGCTGAAAAAATTAATATAAAACCTTTATACCATGGGTTTTTTTGGTTGCACAATACTGGTAAATGTAAGAATTTTGAGTAGGACATGTACAAATTTGAATGGGCTGGGTAAAAATGATAGGTCTACATGCCCGAAGGGCATGTGCTGAAAAAGAATTGTTGTGAAGACTGAACTAAAGCGACAGCGCCGGGTGATCATATAAAGTCCCCTTTATTACATAATAATTTGGCAAATTATCAACACATCAAGCTAAAATTTCCAACATATCTTAACGGTGAGAATTTTTATTTTTTAAGTTGAAACCTCGTGACCTGTGAAAAAAATGAAATTTGTATCCCATCTAAAGTCTTAAAATGTATCAAGGTAATTTTCAATACAAATTTACGGTTGGGGTTATAAATGAAGGATAAAACCAGAGACCTCGGAATGGAATACTCGGAAGTCTCTGGTTTTATTCTACCCCCAACTGGAAGTTGTATCCCATCTAAAGTCTTAAAATGTATCGAGGTAATTTTCGTGGAATAAATGAGTGCTTTACAAAAAAGGGATTCGACCAGAGACGTCTAAAACGATTTATTTGACAAGAAAAAAGTCTCTTGAAGCGAACGATGTCATTTTAAAGTAGGTTAATGATTGATAATGATACATGAACAAAATACGAGCTTGAAGCGGACGTGCCTGAAATTGAGTTAGATACCTTGTGGTAAAAATAAGTAGGGGTGCACCGTATATGAAACAAGTGCCTGTGATTGATAGTCTGAAATTTCTCTTCACCTAAATATTAAAAGCTTGCAGTGATCGCTATAAATCTATACAACAGTCAAGTTACATATGGTAAACTAACATAAAAACAAGATTACAACAGTCATGATTACAGAAGGTATATTTTGAAGACTCTAGGTCAGTAGGTGAATGTAAACAGGTAAACACACGTGGGACAGTCACCGCAAATATGAACCACAAAACGACTTATAACATTAAAATGTAAATATTCATCTGCACACAGATTTTTGCATAATAATAATAATTTTTAAAAGTGTAAATTAAAATATAAAATAAACAAACCTCAAACCTTGTAACAAGGCTTGTTTCCCTACAATCTTATTCTGGCTCTCTGTGGTTCACTGAAAATGCAGGGAACCAGGCTGCGTTATTAACTCGTACTCAGATTTGTTGATACGAATAAACCTATAAACATATATACGAAATAAAATACTATCATAAAAAATGAAGAATTTCAAATTGCTTGAAAAATTATCTTTATGTAGTTTATAATAAATGGTTGTAATTGTTTATCAATTTCTATCTATCCATTAAAATTTGATACGTATATCAGCTTGATATGTATCCGTCTGAACAATTATTGTTATTACACTCCCTGTCACATCTTCATAGTTAAGCCTGTAAGCATGGTAAGTAGGAATCAATTTCAGTTGAAGGGGACCAAAACCAAACATTTTTCAGTTTCATTTGGTGGGGAGGGGGGGGGATATAAACCTCAAATGATCTCTGTCACTGAACTGCTGAAAATAATGAAGGGAACTAGGCTGCGACAATGATTTGTTGACAGAATTAAAATACGAAATAAATTATCATACATACGAAATAAAATAATTTCATGAAAAAATGAAGAATTTCCAAATGCTTAAAAAAAGAAGCTTTTCATGTATGTGATTTACAATAAATGGTTGTACTTTTATATTTTCTATATATCCATTAAAATTTCACAGTATCAGTATTTCACTATTTGTAAACATTAACAATAATATTAAATAAATGTTACACTCACTGTGGCTTTGACTGAGTTACTGTCACATCTTCATAATTAAACGAGAATATTCCCTTCCGTAAATATTGCTATATATATCTGAACTGTTACCAATTCATCTTTCTTTGGAAAAAGAAACCTCAGGGATGGAGAATAGGCCCGTACGTAATTTAGTTGGAGGGGGGGGGGGGTGAACACAACCAAACATCATTTTTCAGTTTCAGGTTGGGGGAGGCTACAAACCAAAAAAAAATTTAATAAGCAAAAGAAAAATACATTATCAGAGGTTATTATTGAGGGGGCCCAAAAGCAAAAGAAAAATAGATCATCAGAGGTTATTACTGAGGGGGCCCAAGCATAAAGGAGCAATGTTTTCTATAGTATACCTAAATTTCAGCAAAATTACAGGGGGCCTGCCCCCCCCCCCCCCTTCCTTCAGCCATGTATTGTATCAAATCTGCTTCACCCTGATTCAGATTTTTTTTTACAGCATATATATTATATTAGCAGAGGACCACATTATATTAATAAACAATTATTAAATTACAGCTATTTTTTTCTTACAGGGTCTGTTTCATTTATACTATATCATGATGATCATGTCCTGCATGATGTTTACAGAAAGTTTAATTTAAATTTTTAAGCTCGAAATAGCTGCGTCAACTTGCGAGACTATTTTTTCAACGTTCGGCCTAATCTTTAAATATTTAATTTGTTTGTGGACTTGCATAAAAGAATTTAAAAAAATATAGGGGCCTATCATTTAACTTTATTTCGAATTTCCTTCAGGATTTGATATACCGAACTTATAGTCTAACGATTATTTAAAATCATACTTTTTCTCTTGAAAGCTAAATTACTAGGCAAAAAACAAAAAAAAAAAAAACAAACAAAAAAACCAAACGAATGTTTGTCTTGTGTATTCTTAATTACAACTTATTACTGCATCATTTTAGTTACTTACCCAAATTTCTCAACATCCATGGTGTTCAGAGGTCATTTTCTGAAAACTGAAGGGGCATTCCGATGGCATTCGGAACAAATGACGGAAAGCACTTGCTAAGAATTCAAAACATGGTTCATAAATTTACAATATTTTTCCTTTTTAGGTTTTTAACATAAAACATGGAAAACTAAGTTAAAGAAACACTCATTTGAACAAAAAAAAAAAAATATATATATGCTAGATTTTTTGTTTAATTGCATGTTTTTCATGGTCTCCAAAATGCAGAAAAATTATCCTTTGAAATTATACGTAGGTTATAAATTCTTTTCTTTTTTAGGGAAGATGATAGAAATTAGACAACTTTTGAATGTTAAATAACAGAGTTAAAGATTAATAATATTTAATGGCAGACTGTTTATTTATCTATAAAAAGACATTTGCAATACTGATGAGGTCAAAATAATAGGGAGACCGAAAAAGGTCGCCTTAATCCAGTGGTCTCCCTAAGCCAGAAAATATATCCTCCTTGGTCTCCTAAAGCCATATGTCATATATATATATATATATATATATATATATATATATATATATATATATATATATATATATATATATATATATATATATATGTATATGTATATGTATATATATATATATATATATATACATACATACATGTGTGTGTGTTTGTGTGTGTGTGTGAGGGTGTGTGTGTAATATACAGGAAATATATTAAGGTGCACTTCAACAAGACTACAAATTGTCAAATCGATATAAATACATCTTAGTCTAGCGGAGACTTAATCCAAAACCCTTAATTAAGAGTCGCAATTTAGGGCTTATATAAAACACACAAAAATCTTCAAAAATATTTTTTGTAAGAATTTATTACACAGAAAGAAAAGAAATAGTATTAAAACTCATGATATTCAAAACAGAAATTATACTACAATAATGAACCAGATCAGTTCATAGAAACATAAACGGACAAATAATTTCTCCAGGAAAAAAAAATCTGTCAAATTTATGTAATGTGCCAGCATGTGCTACGTTTCGGAAACTTAAAGTGAAGGAAATCAATGCAAGGATGTGAAAGGATGTGTTTGCAGAAAAATACTTAAAAGAATTCATTTTAAACAATAATACAAAACTAATATCAAAATCAATATTTAAACAAATAATGAAAGGACTTTGGAACATTAAAAAGAGGGAAAATCAACATTTATCCAAATATAATAATTTTCTGTTAGATTTATTTTATTTTATCGGAGAGATAGTAAAGTAATTTATACATTTAAGTGGAACATTCAAAGTAATTATATTGAAAGTGTACACCTTGTTTTGAAACTTCATTAATTAAAGCCTTGTTTAGTCAATATGCAGAATCACACTGGAGGCGAATTAATGACCATATCTAAATTAACGTAAAACAGAGTTATTAACAATTTACAAGAACTGCATATACTTGAAAATACCATCACACTTTGTTTCATTCTTTTATAAAATGTATTAATTAATGAATTCGGAACGTATGATTTGTGACATTATGTGTTCAAAAACACAGTTGTGCTCTTCAGCATCAGCAAAATATTTTAGTTTTAATCGGACATTATGGATATACTTGTATTTCTATTGTTTTCAGTTTTCAAGTATATATAATATAAATTTGGGAAGACAATGAATGATATTGAAAACGTTTTCTCCTTTGAAATTATGGCTAGGAACTTGAACTGTTTGCTTTAAAAACCCACTTTACATATGTCTGCAAAAAAGTTTTACGCAGATCACAATCAAATCATTAACATAATCTATGCAATTATACATGGCTGACCAAAGTTGTAGATGTGCGACTTTTATAGAAAGAATCTATTCTATAATCTGAATTGCATTTCCGTTTACCGATGATTATCAGTAAGTAAACAATGGAAAATATTAACACACCACAAACAACTAGTACACCAATGAATATTTCTTTATTGACTGTCCATGTAGGCGTGGCAGTGTTTACAACTGTGGTATAGTTGACTGAAAAATATATACATGTAAATATATAAGTAATACAGCAAACAAGAGAGAGAGAGAGAGAGAGAGAGAGAGAGAGAGAGAGAGCGTGGATCGTTGTAGCAAAATATGATTTTATTCAGTTTTATATATAATATTAAAACGTACATGAATATTTTTGCAATGTGTTCAGTAATCATATACATATAATATATATATATATATATATATATATATATATATATATATATATATATATATATATATATATATATATATATATATATATATATAAACACTAAATCATAGAAACCTGAGAATGAGGTGCCAATGATACATCCTGTGCGTGCATTACATTCTTCCTTCAAACATTGACATTTATGTTGACAGTCCGGACCAAAGTTTGGGTATCTGCAAGTCCAGGTGCAGTTTTCACCAAAATATCCAGACTTACACGCTTAAATATGAATTATCATTTTTTTTAATTGCAAAATAGAATGCATTGTTCACAAAGCACATGTACATTATTTATGATAAAACTTTTTCATCGAAATTTGAGGAAATAAACTTTACAATTAATTTTCTGTATAATACTTCGGAATAGGATGAAAATAAATATATGTCATTTCTTTGTGAGTTATGAAAAATTTTACGTTTAGGTATAATGCTTTGAACCACATAAAAGTGCTCTTTTGTGCACATTGTGCATATTTGATGAGATCTGAGAATTGTGAATATAAAACAATTAAAAAGCAAAACTTACAAATACATTTGCATATTTCTTCATCCCAAACCAAATCATTACATTCCTTAGGACTAAAATGTAGCCAATGGTAAACTTTTATATGATGCATATGAATGATCATTTTGAAAAAAAAATCTAATATAATTATTACAGCTTTGCCTAAGACGAAACTTTTTTAATTGATTTTTAAAGAAATTTTAGAATTATGTCAGTGTTATTTTTTTGATTGAAATTTTGACTTTTACTTGTCATCTTACCATGAACGTTATACCGTAAATCTGGAATTTTTTTACTGTAGATAAATTTTTAGCAAATTTGTGCGTGCATTGCGTTCGCAAAAATATTTTTCTTAAAATTAAATCAACGATAAAAAAAATGTAAACAAACTTTTTTCTGACAGCTGGTGTCTATTTTTAACTCGGTGAACAGGTGTTCGTAAGCAGTGATCATTTTAAGAAGCCTGTTTATACATGTACTACGTAATGGATAAATAACGAGATGGTGTTGAATAGCTTAGAGAAAACATCCCCTCCTCGGGCCTCGGTCCTCGGAGGGTATGTTTTCTCTAAACTATTCAACACTATCGAGTTATTTATCTTACTTTAAAAAACTTCCCTACTGTGGACCCCAAAGAAACATTTACCCATTCA